CAATTCCTATCACAGTGAGCTTCATAGAAGGGAACCGTCAAGCTGAGCCTGCCCCAGATAAACCATGCACACAATGAACACTGAGTCGGCAAGCTCACTATCAATGTCATCTAAGAATACGTCTATCCTAGCTGTGAGTTAGTCAGCAGAGTTAAAAGGGAATAAATAGGAACATTATGAACATTCAGAATGTAAGAAATAACGTGAATATAACTGCAATGCCAAACATTAACAAAATCTTCCACATGCTCAAAAACAATGTGCTAGACATCAACACAGGCATGCTGGGTATTCAGGAAGAGGGAGTCCGAAAAGAGGGAGTCTTCACATGAATGAGAGGAAAAGACAACTGTTCCAGGACATACTGCTTTAGTGCTTGCACAATGGTTCAATGAAAGGACAAGGAGCAACGGACCAGGGGTCCACAGACAGGATTCCCACTTCATAGTCTACTGTCATCTATGAATTCTATGAAACGAACCAAAGCATCATGGAACCTGCGCCGGGCCTCACGTTTTCTGTGAGTGAGAACAGCAAGGGTCTTGTCACTGTCTGTCGTTGGGGAACTAGGGGATGATGTATGCAGCAGTGACTTGAAAAACAAGCGGCTGTCCCAGACATGAAGGTGCTACACAGGAATTATAGGTATCAGCATTATCAATCAACTCTCGAGAAAAATAACAGACACCCCCAGCTTGTTTAAACTTTGGCCTATTTGTAAAAGGAGAATGGGAACAGTCCATCCAGAAGTGCTTGGGCTGCTGTTTTCTTTAAAGTGAGCTCATAAACTTTTGTAGAGTAGGTCGGCACACAAAGTAGAATTCTGAAACTAAAGCCCAGTTCTCATCATGAGTGCATCCTCACTCCATCACTTATTTAATAAGCCTATTTTACCAGTAATTTTGTTTGCCTCAAAGGTGATGCAAAAGGCACTACCCTTTAAATGCATCAAGTGCCCAGACACCCCTAGGATTACTGGCTATATCTCCCTGGCTCTGTCCTGGGTCTCTAATACAACCCTTAAACTATGCAGCCCAGGACTGGTTTCTAATCCAAGATCCTCTTGCCTCAGCCTTGTGAGCACTGTAATTAAAACAGAAGAATACTTCCATGCCTGGCCTCACTTTTTAAAGCAAATCCAAATTTGTGTTAAAGAATCAACAAGACTCAGAAGGTATTCTATTTCTAACATGTGCTATGGTACAGATAAAAATATTTTACCAAGACACAAGTTCCTAGTTTTACTCAGTTGAGACTCAGCTCCTTTTAAAAGACCACTCATGAAGCAAAATGGTTACTTTGCTACAAAGAGTGCAGGAAAACCTGCCTTCACCATAACTGTATCAGCTTAGAGAAGTGAAGCTATCATCCAGCACAAACCGTACTTTCTGAGCAAGAAAACTCAAGTCCCACTGAAGGGACAATGAATGATTAACAAGGAGAATAGTTTTGGTTTCAAGAGCTGCACAAGCAGACTGGCCATTGCAGGAAGCTGAACTAATGCTGACAAAGCTAAACTGTTACAGAAACTAGGAAGCTGCCCCTGCTAGGAAGCTGTCACACACCCTGTCCTGTTCTCTGTGGCCAGTGTTGCTTATACTGCTCAACTGTAACTGTAAATTGAAGTAAGAGACTAGTCGATGCTGACTCCCAGGCAGTTGTTAGTCTGACTGTGTTGCCAGTTGTATCACATCCAGTCAGTCCTCCACCCAGTCAACCTCACCTAGGCCACCATCCACATTACCAAAAGCCCTAGCCACTGTCATCTGAGAAATTTTTAAAAGACATGATGCCATACAAGCACAGTGGGAGGCTACCATGAGCTGACAGCCAATATAAGTACCTAAAGGAGACCACTTCTTCCGACATATCGCTCTGGACACTAGCTTACAACCAGAAAGGCACCTGACATTTGGGCAGCAATGTGATGCTGAGATTGTTTTCTTTTCCACGTAAGCCATTTAGTTTACCCACAATGGAAACTAACCAGAAATGGAAAATGCTGAGAAAAATCGTATTAGCACCGGAAATTACAACTAACAAATGAGTGTTCTGCTGCAGTGTTGCTTCCCTTATCCCTTGTCTGGACACCGAAAGGCACTTATTTATGTTAAGCAAAATGTAAGATGACAAAAGATCTCTAAAAATGTCAGTAATTTTTCTCATTTCAATTTACAGTGGGAAGTCTAATATAGTCAACCACTGGCTGAAATACAAAACTTTTAAAAACACTTATTTGTTTGTTTATTTAAGCATTGATGAGGGGAGCTTATACTGTAGGCATTATGCAAATAAGCAGCCAAAACACACATTTTAAAAAATTCTTAAAAAATTTAATTAAAAAAAAAGTTTAAAATCTGATTACTACTGCTACTCTAAATGAAGAAAGATCTAATGAATACACATAGCCCAGAAAAACCATGGCAGAAGAACTTTATAAAGAGGCCAGAGAAAAGGAAAACAGGACACATGGGAATTAAGAGGTTATACAGTTATGTCCAGCTTCCTATCAAGTCTCCAGTTGAAATCATGGGTAAGCTAACTGCAGCTGCTATCTACAACGAGAGCTACATTCTACAGGCAGGGGAAACCATCAGAGCTCTCTTGAGTTATCTCATGAAGATCACTTGGAGTTTAAGATGAACAAGAACAGCATAAAAAGAAAGGGAATGAGTTTATCAAACCTTCTAGAGGAGAAAAGACAGCACCTGGTCATCTGACAGTGACTTCAAGGAAGAGTTTAAACAGGCAACGTGCTTTCCTAGTGCCAAACACCACGCCCCATTAAAAAACATACAATAATCAAGTACCCTCCATGGGCCAGAAACTATGGACAGTGCTGAAAGGACACTCACAGTAGTAAAATCTTGCTCAGTTTTAAAAGTAGATGTCACTTTATTCTCTTTTCTTGTGCCTCTACTTCTCACGGCGGGGGCTGGGAGGTGCTATTTCTGGAATCCACAGGTCTTCATCAGTGGTTTTGCTTATTCTTAGTTAAATGAAACATATACATGCACCTTTCTCAATAATGACACAGACCTTGATCTTAGACTAAGATGTGAAAGAACAGACTAAAAGCTGTCAGTGGCATCCCAACTTCAGTTAGATAGGCTTAGAATAGATAGAGAAGTTTCTTTCCCACAGCGAAGTTTCGGACACACTGTTGTTCATTTATTCACTGGGGTGTACTGATTGTTTACTGTATAGTGCTGTTTTTTCCCTGGCCTTGGGAAGATAAACATCTGAGAAAACAGTGGAAAGTGTGTCTATTGAGAAAACAAACTAACAAGGATAATAAGCTACCCTTAAACCCCTTAAAGGAGGGTGGTAGAAGAGAGCAATGAGAAGAGATATGTGGACAGCAAGCAAATCTACAGAAAATACAATGACAATAGGGACCAAAGGTCAACGCTAAGCAGAATCTGGTGACTCAATGAATGTCATTTATCAAGTTAGACTCATAGTTTTCTATATATACTGCTGCCAGACGCTCAGTGAGAGTATGACACAATGCATACAACTGTACTGGCCAGCATGTAATACATGACACACTAAGGAACATAAGATATGGGGTTTGCAAAAACATATCATAAATCTTTCTGGTAACTTTTCTAGAAGAGCCTAGACTGTTACTGACTATAGACAGTACCAAGGAAGACTGGTGGCTGTACATCCTTGTGTAGCCACACCCGAGAGGATCGCTTGAATGGCAGTGACATCATCAAACAATTTCCTAAGCAGTTTTACTCTTAACTGTCCCTTTACTTTAATTACATTACAGGAAAGTACTTCAGATCTAAACTGCACACTGGCCACGGTACTCCTGCTGATGGATCCTTTCTGGTCTTCAGCAAACAGAGCCAAATGCAATCAAAGTGCTCACAATTAAATTATAAAACATTTGGTTAAAAATTCTATCTCAATTCTTGCTTTTGCATCTTTGTTTTGTTAGTCAGGGCCTTGCTGTGTCCCTCTGGCTGCCCTAGAACTTGTGATCCTTCTGCTTCCAGTTTTCAAGGGGCTAAGGTTATGGGCAAGAGCCACCAAGACCCACTCATGTTTGCATCTTTAACCCCTGATTAGATCTACCTCCCTACTCTTTCTTCAGGGGTGCATACCAGCCTGTGAAGTATTCTATAATCTCTTACATAAAGAGGAAAAAACATGGAATTATTTCCCATGTGAAACAAGAGCACAAAATTAGTATTTTTTTTTTTTTTTTTAGGAAATATTTTAAAGAGTATTTTACTGTTGAAGAGTTTAGTCTCTTAGCTAGCACAGGGACTTGTGCCTGTACTCCCAGCATTTAGGAGGCAGAGAAAGAAGAGGCACTTAAGTTTAAGGCTAGCCTGGTCTCCAGAGCAAGAAAAATAATTATTCCAATCTCTCTGTTTCAAACATCTGGGTCATTAGATGAGTGCTTCAAAGGCTAACTTGCACATATGGACAACCAGAGTCACTCACTGGACTTTTATTCTCAAAATAAGAAAAAGGTCACCATTTTTGAAGAGTATGGCTACTACAGTTGTAAGAAAGATAATTTTTAAACAGAAGAAAATTAGAATGAGCTGAGGTTACTACAACCTCACTTTCTAACCAGTAAAACAGCTTCACTAATCTATAGAGCTGACCTTATTTTTCAGTTGTGCTTAGTAAAAAGCACACAGCTAACCAAGTGGCTGAGGCTGCATTTTTGAACTGATATAGTATACTGTGGAAGTCTGTCAGAGTGTGCCAAGCCAGACATTGCTATGTGTTATTAAATAAAAGTACCCTTCAGGGCCAGGGTGGCTAAGCAAGTAAAGGCACTTGCCACCAAGTCTGAGGACCTGAGTTTAATGTCTAGAACCCACATGCTTGAGGAGAACCAACTCCCACAGGATGTCCTCTGACATCCGCGTATGTGCTATGTGGTAGGCATGTGCCCACGTGCACACATAGAAATGCAAAACATAAAAATATGTAAATAAAAACACATTTCAGAGACGCAAATGTCTTACCAATTGGAATTCCCGACGCCGGTCATAGGCATTCTGTATGCCACTGTCGTCCCATAAGGCTCTTATAGCAGGAAGATACTGCAAAAAAACTCGAGTCTCCACCATGCCCTGGGCAGCCATGGGGGCGCGGGTATCAAACGACATCAACTTGTCTCCATGGAGCTGGTTTTTGTTATCTCCCCAGGGAATATGAAGCTTCTCTCGGGCATCTACCAGCACCCTCATACCTTTGTTTAAAAAGAAAAAAAGCGTGAGGAAGAATCACTAAGACACCACCCGAAGCTTTCGCCCTTGTGCTATTCAGTATTGGTTCCTTAATTTCTTTAGCTATTACAGAACCCCTGCTTCCAAAATGGAGACCAGAATCAAAACAAAACCTTTATCTTCTCAGAGGTTTAAAAAACAATTGTTCATGGTCTTAAAATTAGAAGCCTTGAAAAGTAAATATTAATAACAAAAGCACTCTTTCGGAAGGATTTTAATGTGCTGCAATTCATAAAATAATTTCTGGTGCAGAAGGCAGTCAAAACCGGAGATGGAAAAAATAAATAATTCTGCCTCACAAGAAGCCAGGCTAAAGACAGCCTGGTATCCGCTAAGATCGGTTCACTACGGCTTCCTACCAACACTGTCTTCTAGGACGCGCTGGAACTCAAAGCTTGCCCAGGCCAAGCTTCAAATCAGTGCAGTCACATACTGGCTTTAGAGTTAACATAAAGAAAACTAACTGCAACATGATACAGACAGGCTTCAACGTACACAGGTTAGTTCAAACTCAACACTCCTACCACTAGACGGTTACCTCTGTTATTAGAAAGTCATTGCTTTGTATATGTGAAAAAAAAAAAAAAAAAACAACTGTTTTGCTTTCAATGCCAACTCAAGAAAATAAGATGGCTAGTTAAACTTAAACGGGATCACACAATAATGCTCAAAGTAATTCTTAGGCCCAATGTATATTGAAAAACAGGTGGTTTACCCTACTCACAGTGAACATTTGAGTCTATTCATTAACATAATTCTTTAAGTTCAACTGTATCAGGATACAAAGGTACCTTCAATTAAGGGCTGGCAAGGTACAGTTTACAGCCTTAGAAGAGACTTTAATTAGTTTTGTACTAAACATTAAGGCAGACTAAATACAATTATCCTTTACAGTTTAACTGCGGAGGTACAAGTAGGAGCCATGGCTGTGAGCTCTTGGCCTAGCCTTCTCCCATCATTGGCCCACAAAGCCTCCCTCTCTAGTTTGTCCCTACTTGAAATCCTGAAGCAGGGAAGGGGAGAGACATGAAGGAGTTTGCTTATGTACTTCCTGAACAACAACAAAAACCCACTTAAAAAAAAAAAAAAAAAAAAAAGGACAGAAAGAAAAGAAAGCCAACTCCTTGAAAAGACCTACAATCTTAAAAGTTTGCTTCCAAGTCCTAGATAAAACAGCGGGACTCCTTAACCACTCAGAGGGCTGTGCCTCAATTCTGCCAATGTCTCTTAATGTAGGAGACACTTGACACTAAAGGAAAAAAAAAAAAGGTGTTTCTTTTAAATGACAAAATAAAAGCCACCTCCACAACTTATTTGAACACTAAGCAATAGACTTCGTGCGTTTTTCACTTACGAACAACATTTTAATTCTAAAATACTGTCAAACCGTATCTGTAAGGCCCATGGACCAACACAACACATATTCACTGCCTGACTTCTCCTGTACGGTCGGTCACTTTATGACTTTTAAGCCAAAGGGTCTTTACACTTAAACATAAATTCATTCAAGCATTTAGAAGTGATGTCGTTTTTCTCCTGTCCCCAGTTATTAGGGAAAAAAAGTGTGCAACATATTGAACCGTGATTACAAACATCCTGTAGCACTGAGGCGATAAAACCACTCGCGCTAATTTTTTTTAATAGGCTTTTCTGATGCCAGTTCAGTAAACGCGAGTTTCATACTCTTGCCCCCAAAAGGTATTGGAGGTTGTCACTCTATGCCCTTGACAAGAGTCTCAGGGTTAAAAAAAAAAAAAAAAGTTTCCTCCTTGCGACCGTTCCAGAACTTGCTTAAGAGGTGGCCTAGGAAGCCCAGGGCTGGCAGGGTAACAGATCCGGTTACTAGGGTCACCCACCGGGGACAGGCAGACGAGGGAAGGCTTGGGGGTGTAAGACCCGAGGCTGCTGATGGGTGGTCTCGCCACAGTGCGGGGAGGACACAAGGTGCCCCGCTGCCCCGAGTCACCCTGCTCGCAGCACTTCCCTCTGGAAGGGGGCGAGGCCAGCGGCGGGGTGCGGGGTCGACCGTGACCCTCCCCGGGGTGGCACGGGGACAGCCGGGCGTCCCGGATCTGCGGGACCAGGGCACTGCGGCGCACAGGACGGTGCCCGAGGCGCGCCCACCCGCTCGCTCGCCCGCCCGCCCGATCTGGTCCGGTCCGGTCTCCTCAGACTTGGAACCGGCGGGCGAGGGCGGTGCCCGGCCCGGCTCCCCTGCGGTCCCCGGGTCCCCGAGCCCCGCCGGGACCCCGCACCTTTGATCACGTTGCTGTAGATGGTGGGGCGGAACTCCTCGCGCGCGCGCTGGTCGAAGTCCTGGCCGTGGATGATCCGCATCTGCTTCAGGAAGGTGGACTTGCCGCTCTCGCCCGCGCCCAGCAGCAGGATCTTCACCAGCCGCTTCACGTAGGTCTTCTCCCGCGACAGGCATTTGTCGATCTCCTTGGACTTGCGCTGCTGCTCGGCCTCGCCGTTCGTCAGCACGCAGCCCGGGAAGCACACGGACAGCACGGAGCGCGACGGCAGGAAGTCCGCCATCTTGCCGCCGCCTCGGCGGGCCCCTGCGGCTCCTCCACCTCCTCCCCCGGCAGCGGGCGGCTCCGGCTGGGCGGCTGGAGGGCGGGGAGCGCGGCGGCGGCCCGAGCGCGCCCGGGGAGGGAGGGAACCCGAGAACTGACTCGCCAGGGCGGGCCGCGCCGGCCGGGGAGGGTGGGAGGGAAGGAGGGCGGGCCCGGGGAGGGGCGGCGGCCCTCTGGGCGTGCGCGCGCCCGGCGGGCCGCGGACGCGCGCACGCAGGCACGCCGCGCTGGGGCGGGGGAGTCTGGCGCGAGTCACGCGCTCGCCGAACGGGCTGGGGCCCGGAGCGCGCGCGGAGAGCGCGGGGGAGCCCGGAGGCACGTGGGCCGGGCCGGGGCGCGCGCCTGCGGAGCCAGAGTTTCTGTTTCCCTTTAGTGCGACCGGCTCCCAGGAGCGCCGAGGCTGGCAATCCGGTTCCCGACACTGTCTATTAGGTCTGCTTCGCGCTACTGTTCCCACCACCCGTTCCCGTCGTTACTCGCTTGCATTCACCTCCGCGCGCCCTGTTTGAGACCGTATTTACGGCAGTCCTCCGGCTGAGATTACAGGGAAGCGCTTTACTCCAAGCTCGTGCACTTAATTAGCAGCGACTCCCTTGCCATGGTAACCATCCTGGGTCTAGAAGGATGACTAGATAGATGTCAGATGTCATTACTGATCAACACCCCTCTCTAGCAACTCGGGGCACTATTGATTAACCTGCCCTGGTTTGAGGAGAGTTGGAGTTGATGTTCACGTGAGACGTGCTAGGAAGGTCGCTGTGGCTGGCCGACTGATGTGGATTCCCTCCCGAGCTGCATTTGGTAATGCCTGCTGAGGTCAGTGAATGGTGGAGAGGGTGAGGTCATGGTGAAAATCCCCCTAAACCGGACACTGTGATGCACATTCTTCCCAAGGAAGCAGATAAGCAAACAGCCTAGGACTGCAGCAGGCACATTTTAGGTTTCCTGCCAGATTACAGAGGATATGACTGGCAAGAGACTTTTTTTTTCTTTTTTCTTTTTTTCTGTCTTAACAGTAGATCAGGCCAGGACACCTGAAAAGAGTCATGAAGAACACACGTGACAAGTGACATCTGAGTGACTGTAACAAGGACCTCAGAAGCCAACTTCTGCATTCTTTGTCAGTTTCAAAGGGGAAAGGCGGTTGATGCCTGTCTGGTTTTGTCTCAACGGTTTGCTCCTGGGTCCTGGCTGGTGCAACTTGGGAACTTCCTGTGTGTTAGGAAGCTGAGAGTAAGAGGTCAGCACAGTGAGAGGCCCATGCACAAGTTTAAATTTTTAAAACTAGCGCTCTAAGTCAGTCCATCAGTTACTGTCAGTTTGGGCTGGTGACTGAGAAGCCTCAAGACTCAAGAGTGCTGTAAACAATACCCGAAGTGGAGGAATTCTCTCCTGTTATACCCGCTGAGACCATGAGTGGACCTGAGCCCACAGTAGACCGGCTGCGAAGTGGGCTGAGCTCCCATCCAGCATCTGTGGATTGCTAGAGTCAGGCCTGATGTGTGACAAAAGTCTGCCATGGATGGATGATCTCTCCATATAGCCTTGACCACTGTCAGGGATGTCCTGTGCTGGGTCCATGAGAAGGCTAGCTTCTACCCAGAACAGGCAGAGAATACAATCCCCTGAGTTATCTCCAGGTCCTAATCTGAATTCTCTAGCAAAAACAGAAGAGGGAAATACATGCTTTAGATTCATTTTCCTGAGGTGTGCGCAACATAATGGAAAAGCAAGGATGCCTAGGAGGCAGGAAGGGATTCCTGCCTGGCTAGTTCTTGTTGGGACATGTAGTACAGCAGAGAGGCTGTTCAAAGTCCTGAATGGAACCTCATCTTGGAAAAATTTTGGCCTGGGTTGAGCCTGGCTGCTCTAATCCAGGTTTCTGAAAAAGAAACATTTAAAGCCCTGCCTGGGGTTTGGCTCCTGCTTGAAACTGGTGATCAAGTCACTTTGTAAATCATAAGCACAAAAAGTGAGTCAGTTTAGTGGCTCTTCAAAAGCTAAACATAGAATTGCCACATGACCCAGCAATTCCGTTCATAGGTACATACCCCCCAGAGAACAGAGAATGCTGCTCAGGCAAAAACTTGGACACCTATGTTCATGACAGCTCTGATAAAAAACAACAACAACAACAAAATAAATGAAATGAGTAAGACTTAAAACAACCCAAAGGCCCGTTGGTGAGTGAATGGCTAAACAAAATGTGATGCATCCAAACAACAGATAAAAGCAGTCATAAAAACGGTAAAAGTACTGATAGACGGGCTGAGGAGATGGTTCAGTGTGCCTGATGTACAAGCACAAGGGCTGTAGGTCTGATCCCTCAGACCATGAAAAAGCCAGGTGGGCATGGTGGCCTAGAAGACAGGGACAGGATTCCCAGAGCATGCTGGCTAGCTCCATTAGCTAAATCACCAGGCTCTGGGTTCAAGTGAGAGATTCTGCTTCAATGAATAATGTGTGCTCACATGCACACTCATTTGTCCACACCCGTGAGCATACACCACAAGCACATGGCTGCGGTGGTGGGGAGTGATACATGTTATGAGAATCAATTTTGAAAATATTACCCTTGGGTAGGAGGCACATACTGAATGGTTTGGTTTCTGTGAAGTGTCCAGAAAGTTGAGAAGCAGGGAAGAATGAGGAGTGAGCACTTAATGGATTATTTCCTTTGAGGGTGATGAAAGTGTTTGGAAACCAGATAATGGTGATGGTGACAGAGAATGGTGAATGTACCAAGTGCTGGAATGCATATGTGAAAATGGCCAAATGATTTCTTGTAGTTAGGTGAATCTTACCACAGGAGGGAAAGGGGGGGTATTAAGGAAGAGATATGTTACACAAATGATATTTGGTATCATTTGTCATTGAAGTTATGAAAGTGCCACAGTCTGTAACATTAATGAAAGGAAGGGCCATTGTGTAGCATCTAATGAATGGAAATGCTACAGTGTGCAACCTGCCAGGAATGGAAGTGCCATTGTGTTTAAACTAATGCAGTTTAAGTGGTTTGCAACAGAAGCAAAAGTCTACTGTAGCAGCTGCCTCTGCTTATACCGTCGTTGTAATGGTGATTATTTTCAGTTACGATGTTTTTCCTAGGCAAAAATTAAAGAGCCTAACTTCTAAGGGAGGGCGGGGTCTACCTGTTAGAGTGGAACCTGCTGGATGCTGTTTCTAACAAATCCAAATATTACTTCCTTGGAAAGGTGGATATTGTGGCCAGCCAGCTAATCCATATGCAAGAGTGGTTTGGGCCTGCCCTGCCCCCAAAGCTGGATTACAATGATAGGAATACTTGAACATTTGCATTAAAACGTTGCTCTTTCTGGAAGGTCAAAGTTTAGCAAGATGAAGGAAGGAGCCCTTCCAGTCTGCTGTCACCCTCAAACTCAACTCCCAGCCCTTTGGGAGCCGGAAGACTTATGTTTTGTAGTCATGGTTTATTTTTAATTTTTAAAAAACGGTATTGCTTAGCTTATTTACTAGTCTTTGTGCCAAATAACTTTGGCCTCCTTACAAAAATCAGGATTATCCACAAAGGACAAAAATGTGTCACCCTCAGACATATTCAAAAGAATGTGCCAGAGGCTACAGCAACAGTTCCAAAGAGGAGTTAGGAAAAAAAAAAGTTTCTTTTCAATGATGATGGCAAATATAATTTAAATAAATGCTTTGCTTGCCAAGGTGACTACTTAGAGTCAGGATGGGGCAACACCCATTTAGATGTGTTTATTTAAAAATCAGTCACATCACTTGGTAGTTAAGCCTTGGGTTAATTTTCTAATGGGGACAGTAACACATCCAGCATTGGCCTTGCACAACTCTGCCGTCTCACCATCAGTGTAAGATAGCTGGATTATAATCCTTTCTTACAGATAAAGCAGGCATGAATTTTTCTCTTGTATTCTTGTATCCCTTTCCCTTCCAGGAAAGGAAGGGAATAGGGAATTCCTGAGTGCACCCCACACACACACACACACATTAACACAAGCCTTGCAGTGTGTAATGTTTAAAATGCCTGCAAGCACTCTGACCTACTTTATCGCATTCACTACTCACAATAGCCTGACTAGGAACACTCAGGCCCAGCCTCCTGTTCTTTGGCTACTGCAAGAGGCTGCCAGGAGGAAAGGCTTAAATGACTCCTTCGAAGTTTCACTAACTGCGGCCATTTGTAGAGCCTGCCAGAACTGGAAGCACCCTATTTTGATTGGTGGGGAGAAGAAGGGCATGAGACAGGGTCTATGGCAGCACTAGCCGATCGTGAGCTTTTGTTGTTGTTGTTTGTCTCACTTAATTGGTTAAAGCATTTGAACTTGATTTTATGTATACGAATAGCTTGCCTGCGTGTATATATGTACTGCACATGCATGCCTGGTACCTGAGGAGGTCAGAAGAGGTCATTGGATACTCTGGAACAGAAGTTATAAGTTCTACAAGAGCAACAGGTGATCTTACTACTGAACCACCTCTCCAGCCTCCTCCCTACCTCCTTAACACACACACACACACACACACACACACACACACACACACACACACACTGTTTTGGGTTTTTTGGGTTGTTTATTTGTTTTGGTTTTGTTTTGGTTTTGTTTTGGTTATGGAGACAGGGTCTCAAGACCAGCTTGGTCTTGCGCTCTGTGTGTAGCCTGGGATGATTTTGAATTTCATTTATTATGTGTGTGTGTGTTGCATGCACACACATGTACAGGTGTACACAACTGTGCTTACGCATGTGAAAGCCAGAGGAGGGCTTTGGGTATTTTGTTTCATGGCCCTCTACCTTATTCCCTTGAGCGCTTGAGGCAGGGTCTGTCGGTGAGCCTGGAGCTGGGCTAGCAGCCAGTGAAAACCAAGAATCCTCCTGTCTTACCCCTCACAGCAAAGGGGTTACAGGCTACCAGACCACCACTGACTTCTTGGGTGCTGGGGATTCACGCTCAGCTTGTACATCGAGTGCTTTTGCTTTTGGACACTGAGCTATCTCCCCAGCCTCTGGCCTTGAACCCTTTATCCCCAAACTGGGGGTTACTGCATAAAGGTCCTACTTGGACTCTTATCACAGTGCCCTTTCTGGAACATCCAAACAACCCTATTGCTCAGAATTCCTAGTGTGTGAAACACAAGCCTGAGACGTTAACTGTATTTAGCTTGAAGACACTGTAGTGTTCTGTAGTCCTGTTTGTGGGTTGGTCTGTCTGTTTTTCCAGCCCCTTCCAGGCTGGCTGCCATCTTGAAGTCCTCCAGCTGTTAGACTGATTCTAGTAAAATGTTCCCTTCTTTGAGCTCAGGCTCTGGTTTGTAAAATGTTCCAGGTGGCTGACAGAGGAATAAAAAAAAAAAAAAAAAAAAGGACAGACTTATGGCAATATTTACCTGGGATGTAAACCCCATATGTTATTCACTTAGCAAGAGTCAGGTCTCAAAAGGCAATGTTTCTGTTTCTGTAATGCAATTTGCTGTGGCCCTTCCCAGAATAAGCTTCTCATGTGGAAAGATTTAGATGAAACTAGACATGTGGAATTGAACGGTGGGTGGTTTTGTTTGTTGTTGTTAATAACGGAAAACATGACTTTAATTCTTGGTTGTATTTTTCTCAGCCTCTAAAAAGCATCCATGAGCTGCGGATGACCAGCTGAAACCTCAGCTCATTCTCGGTCAGAGGTTCAAAGACACAGCGAGCATAGACACACCTTGCTCTGAAGCATCAGGCCCATTCACAGGCTATTGGTTTCCACAGCACTGCACACAGGCCTGCCCGTACATCGGAGACTCTGGAATGCCCAAAACATGTCACTCACTCTATCTCGTTTGTTTATTTCTGCTACTGTGAGTGCGTGCGTGCATGCGTGTGTGTGTGTGTGTGTGTGTGTGTGTGTGTGTGTAGGTGCTTGCTCCCTTGGTGTGCATGCAGAGGGCAGAGCAGGATGTTGAGACAGGGTCTCTCACTGAAACAGAAGTTCCCCATTTCAGCTAGACTGGCTGGCCAGTAAGATCTGGATATTCACCTCCTTTTGTACCCTGGTAGGCACCTCAGCAATGCCCAGATTTTTATTTTTTATTTTTTAATATGGGAGCTGTGGATTTAAACTTCCTTATTCACTGAGCCACCTCTCCAACTGTCCCCATTCCCTACCCCCTTAATATAGGATAGGGTCTTATTATGGAGCCCAGGCCAGACTCATACTTAAAATCCTCCCACCTCAGCCACCAGAGTACTGGGATTATAGGTGTATGCCACCATGCCTGCCTCTCTTGTCCCTTTGAAAGATGAGAGGTGCTGGTTTTCTTTCCAGAAACAAGAACTGTTTAGACACAGTTCTGCTTCCCCAGGGAAATTCAAATCTGCTCCCAATCTGGTGAGAGCAGAGTTCCCATGGAACATTGGGTTAGCAGGCTTGGACCTGCCACTTCCGGCAAGCACTCTCCTCTGGCTGGCTCGCAGGCTGAGTTTTCAGGTATTGTCACATGTCACAGCCTGCTTAGCTGGCCTTTGCCTCACTGAAAAATGCCGGGATGGAATACGTCAGCTGGTTGTATTTGTCCCTCAGCCACAAAGGCTCATCCAGGGGTGCTCAGAAATGGTCCACGTGGCTTTTGTCAGTCTGTGACAAGACTCCTGTAGCAAATAATGTCATCGGCTCATCCCTCAGACTCCCAGGTCATCTGCTAAGGAAGACAGTGAAGGAGGAAGGATTTGGGGCAAGGCAGCAGCTGCTGAGTCAGAATGATGGTATTAGGAGACTTACAAGAGAGGCTCACAGGCCAGGTTTCTTCTGCTTCAGAGTTAGCCTTCTGCTGCCCTTCCAGGATCTAACGGTAGAGGAGAGCAGGCAGCAGAAGGCAGGGGAAGCAGCTAAAGATGTGACCAGGAATCCTGTGCTTGTGACTGCTTGAGCTGAAATGGGAAAAGCTCCTTTAGAGAGATTGCTCAGCCACTGTTCCTTCTAAACCAGTGTGACTCCTGGTAGATCACTGGCTGTTTGTCCCTCATTCGGAGAAGGAATGGCCTACAGTGGGGGACTTGGTAAGAACTCAGTTGATGGATCCCCTCCTTGCCTGTCTCATCTGTAAAACAGGGAGTCATTACATATAAAGAGTGGTGAAGATTAAATAATAGACATACGTGCTCAGTGACTGTAAATGGGAGGCGTGATTTTAGACTACTAAAGAAAAAAATAAGTTAATGGTTTCAAAAGCCCTAGGAGACTTAATAGTATTGTTCTTGTCAGAACCTTCTTCTTGGGGGTCAGAGAGACAGCTTAGTGGGCAAAGGCACCTACCATCAAACCTGATAACCCAAGTCTGATTTCTAGAACCCACACAGTGGAAGGAGAGAATTAATTCCCACCTGCGGACCAGCTGAAACCACCTTTGCATGCTCTGGGTCACCTTATAAGAGAACTCACACCACCTCCTCTCTCTCTCTCTCTCTCTCTCTCTCTCTCTCTGTCTCTCTCTCTCCCCCTCTCTCCCACCCTACCCAGAGACAGTCTCTGCGACCCTTCCCCCTTCTGTTAATAAAACTTCCCACGTGGAATCAGTCTCGTGGCGTGATTTGTGGACCCGCCGTGTCACTCTGCTGCCCAATCCTAACAAGGGGTAATGAGGACACATGTTTTTTTCATCCCACATCCACATGTTCAACAGCTGCCATTAGAGATCCCTCAGCCTGAGCTAATGGCACTGAGGCCCCCTCTGGCAGACTCATTCCCAGGGAAGAGGACCTGGCCCTGCTGCAATAAGCCACTTTGGGGTCTTGGTTCCAGCAGGTTGGTGTGGAAGGAAGCATAGGTCCCAATGGACCTTTACCCTTGGTCTGTTTGTAGGGGCAGCATCAGGAGATGGCTAGAGTGGACCATCTGAGTCACAGACAACTGGAGGCCTCTCTTGCCTGTAGTGAAAGGTGCTGCTGGGTGGGAGGGTGCTCCTTTCCCAGAGACCAGACTAGACCTCAACAGCTTCCAAGTTCCCAGGCTCTCGGAGTGGATCTCAGCCCAGTCACTCCATCTCAATCATTCACTTGTTGCTCCTTGGCTGGGAACTGTTCGTGCCCTTCCCATGGGAGCCTATGAAGCCCCTGGTTATCCCCACCCTTCCCAAGGCCACCCTGGGCAGGGAGCCAAAAAAACAATTTATGGAAAAAGCAGAGGCATGATATAAATTATATTTTAACTAACCCCCCAGTTATCTGATCACCCTGGGTTTCTGCTTCAGGAACAAACCCCAAGAGTTGAACACACTTCAACAAGAGGTAGCTTCACTTCTTGCCAGGGGTGCAGCCAGAGGCAGGATGTGGCACCCAAAAGACTCTCCCTCCTCTGCTGAGCCTCTTGTGTAGTGAAACGGGTGGAGAGGACCGAGCATGGTTCTGGCTCAGCGGCAGAGTGCTTGTCTACCATGCAGCAGACCCAGCATTTGATCCCCGGCAAAGGGGCAGGTCAAGAGGTGAGGATGAAAAGAGCAAAGTACTTAGAGTTGAAAAGAAAAAAATAACAAATAAAAATAACAAATGGTTTTCTTTCTAAGAAATGAGTGGATTGCTGGAACTCCTGACTCATTTGTTTTAACAGTTGAGGAATTGGGATTAGGGATGCCATTTAACCCCTCCTGGTACAGAGAGATATCATGGTTAATTTGCCAGGAGAAGCACAGCAAGGTCCAAAGGGAAGGCTAAAAACCAAGGGCCTTCAGCTTGGATCTTGTGCCCAGAAAGATTTGCTCCCCTGTGCCCTATTGAGAATGGTGAAATCCAATAAGTGGAGAACTTTGTTAATAACCAGGAACTATGTGGTGTGTCTGGATACCTTTCCTGCCAGAGCCAAGTGTAGTCTTCTCAGATAGTAATAACATGTCCTTGGGGAGAGGTTTCTATTGACAAATTGCTTTCTTGGTTAATCTTTTACCCTTTTCAGCAGTTTCAGCCGTGTGTGTGTGTGTGTGTGTGTGTGTGTGTGTGTGTGTGTGTGTTGCTTTAATATATATGTGATATATGGTATTGTAACATTTAATACAAATTGTTGGGTTTTAAAAAATATTTACTTGTTTTTACTTATGTATGTGTGTGTGCGCATGTATGTGCGCATGTGTGCATGATTTTATGTGTCCATATGCATCAGGTACCTATAGAGGCCAGAGAATATCAGATCCTATGGAGTTTGAGTTACAAGTTGCCTTAGAGTTTTTATTGCTCCGATAAAACACCATAACCAAAAAAAAAAAAAAAAACAAGTTGAAGAGGAAAAGGTTTATTTGGCTTACACTTCCATGTCACTGTTCATTATTGAAGGAAGTCAGGACAGGAACTCAAGCAGGGCAGAATCCTGGAGGCAGGAGCTGATGCAGAGGCCACACAGGGGTGCTGTTACTGGCTTGCTCCTCCTGGCTTGCTCAGCCTGCTTTCTTATGGACCCCAGGACCACCAGCCCAGAGATGACACCACTCATAATGGGTTGGGCCCTATCCCATAAATTACTTATTAAAAAAATATCCTACAGCCAGATCTTAAAGGGACATTTTCTCAATTGAGGGTCCCTCCTTTCAGATAACTCTAGCTTGTATCATGTTGACATAAAACTATCCAGCCAATAAGTGGTTTTGAGCCTCCTGATGTGGTTGCTGGGCCCTCTTGTAAGAACAGAAAGCTATCCCAGGCATCAGGCTATCGCTCCAGCCCTTGATTTTATTTTATTTTATTTTTTGAGACAGCGTAATGCCACCAGTTGGCTAGGAATCCTCTTGCCATAGTCCCCCTCCCCCCAGCCACTTGGGATTCTAGGAATGCACCATCATGTCTGTCCTTGCTATTTCACTAATATGGCCATTAGCACTGGGAAACCACCACAGTTTTTCCTGCTCTGGTTTCCATCACACCCCAGAATGAACAAGGAACCTGTGCTACTCTTGTTTCTCTCCATCATAGCACGAATCACACTATATTATACCTGTGTCCTCCCTTGCCTACCATACCAGAAGGTGCCCTCCTGGAGGCAGGGCACAGCCAGCATTCCTGTGTTCTCAGGATCTGCTGTGGCATGTGATAAAGTCTTAACGGGTGAACACACATTCAATCAGATTACACCTTTGGCTACAGGATACCCTTTGCTTGCACTTCTGAGGGGATTTAGAGAATACCGTGTGAACCAAAAGATGCTCAAGTATGCAACAAAGACGTTTGCCGTTTGTTCAACCATGTTTGTAGCAGCTTTATTTGTAATAGCCAGAAGCTGGAAACAACCCAGATGTCCCTCAGTTGAGGAATGGATACAATTGGAATACTACTCAGCAATTAAAAACAAGGAAATCATGAAATTTGCAGACAAATGATGGGAACTAGAAAAGATCATCCTGAGTGAGGTATCCCAGAAGCAGAAAGACACACATGGTATATACTCACTTATAAGTGGATATTAGACATATAATTTAGGATAATCATACTAAAATCTGTACACCTAAAGAAGCTAGTCAGGAAGGAGGATCCTGGGTAAGATGCTCAATCCTTACTCAGAAAGGCAAATGGGATGGACATCAAAAAAGGGAGAAAACAGGGAACAGGACAGGAGCCTACCACAGAGAGCCTCAAAAGACTCTACCCAGCAAGGTATCAAAACATATGCTGAGACTCATAGCCAAACTTTGGGCAGAGTGCAAGGAATCTGATGAAAGAAGGGGGAGATAGAAAGACCTGGAGGGGACAGGAGCTCCACAAGGAGAGTGACAGAACCAAAAAATCTGGGCACAGGATCTTTTGTGAGACTGATACTCCAAACGAGGACTGTGCATGGAGATAACCTAGAATCCCTGCATAAATGTAGCCCATGGCAGCTCAGTGTCCAAGTGGGTACCCTAGTAATGGGAACAGGGGCTATCTCTGACACAAACTCAGGCTGGCTCTTTGATCACCTCCACCTAAAGGGGAGCAGCCTTACCAGTCCACAGAGGAAGGCAATGAAGCCAGTCCTGATGAGACCTGATAGACTAGGGTTAGATGGAAGGGGAGGAGGACCTCCCCTCTCAGTGGACTTGGAGAGGGGCATGGGAGAAGAAGAGGGAAGGAGGATGGGATTGGGAGGAGATGGAGAGGGGATTACAGCTGGGATACAAAGTGAATAAACTGTAATTAATAAAAAATAAAATAAAAATTAAAAAAATATATACACACACCAAAAAAGAAAAAAGAAAAAGAAAGAAAGAAAATGAGGACATGACTGCTCCAAGGTTGGGAAGGATTTCATTATAGAAATAAAGGCGAGAACAGCCAGAGACACCTGGAAATGGTGGATCGTGAAAGGAAGAGAAGAGAGAGGGGACCAGGAGCCAAGAGCAGAGGACCAAGCAAGTGCATGGCCAAAATAGCAGGTTTCTATAGGAACTAGAGGCTGGAGGAAGGGAAGGGAAACCTGGCCCCTGGGCTGGAGAGGTTTGGGGTAGGGAGGGGTAAGAAGTTCTTGAAAGAGCCACAGGTCACTGAGTGAGCCTTCTCCCGAAAGATTTCTTTGGGACCTAATATCAGGAATATAGAGTCCCAGGAAATGACTGGGGCTGGGGGGAGGGGAAGGATTCTGGCTCAGACTCATTTCTCAAACCCAGGGTCCAGATGTTGCTAATACTATGCCAATTTAGGATGACTATGTAATCTACACTGTGGGTTACTCAGGCAGTGAAGGGCAGTAAAGCATTTTTGCCATGGAGTTGGAAGGCTGGGATACAACAGTATCACGCCTTGCTTAGATGGCATAAAACTTAGAGTTAGCAAAGTTGAGTCACAAAAACCAAATTGTCTCCAGCAAATGTGTTTAAATGTTTTCTAGGAACAATACTAGGGAGTGTCTTCACATTAAATAAAATCACATTAAATAAAATCGAAAGTTCGGTTGCTCTCAGCCACATTCCAGGCTGCCCGGTAGCTTCGTGGGGCTGGTGGCCATTTCCCAGGCCGTTGTACAGAAAATGGAACAAGAGGAGACGTGAGTGACTAGATGTTTAAGGAAGGGCATTCTCTGCAAATGGGAGAGCCCAAGAGCCAGCATGTGCAAATCAGAGTGGTTTGCACAAAATCAAGTAGCTGGGGCTGGAGAGGCATAATTCTGTTCCCATGGGAAGAGTTTGGATCCCAAATAATGACCTCAGGAGCTTTCTTCGCTAAGCATGAAATCATAGGGCACCAGCACTTAAGAGATAGATGGTGGAGAACAGGGAGAAGCCAGCGAGGGGCAGAGGTATACATAGGTTGTGTCGAGCTAGTGCCTAGCTATAGGAGAGACTAGAACCCTTTGGGGTCAACAGGACATAGACACCAGCTTAGCATTTAGGGAGGGTGAGGAAAGGGTGGAGATGGTGAGGGAAGGGGTGGGGATGGCTGTAGGGACTTTGCTCGGGAGGTGGCTTGGCTGTAAAGCTTAAACAGTAGTAGTTTTGCCAACTCTCTGGGACAGACAGCTGAACTGAAGCCTTCCTTCAATGGGACCTGGATTTTTTTTTTTTTTTTAATTTAAAACAAAGGTGTAATTTCTAACTCCAGCTCCA